AGTACAAATCACAACAAAATGTAAACGAGCACACAAATTCAGGTTAATCCATGCTAGTATAGTTAGTTAATCTAAAAATAACCATAAGACAAATTAACCAATCTCCAAGCCACATTCTTGGTTGTAGCGAGATGCACCACTGGGCCTGACATCGTGAATCAACATTCTTGGTAATTACGTAAGACACGAAGGAAACGTTTATAAAAGTTCACTAAAAGAGAACTAAGTGACTTATACCGGCGCCTCTTCACTGTAAACAACACTGGAAACTTTTCCCGTGCCATCTCTGCTGCCGGGTCATCCCAAGACTCTCCTAACCCACTGAAGGAAGACCAACGTCATGTCTCAGAGTACGGTCTAAAAAACTTTGTGTTAACATAAAACTTGGCCTTTATCGTGCCTTGGTATGAGATCCCATAGAATGCAGCCCTCTACAGAGCGCTAGAATACCCTAAAATTCAAAAACAAACAAGCCTCACGAGATCAAGTCGCTGTAATGTCCTGGAACATTCAGGACAGTACAGGAGACGGATCTAACAAATTTGAAAATAACGAATTTCTGACAATCCTCAAACAAGCAAACATTCTGTGTCTCCAAGAAACTAAGAAGCAGGTTAAAATCGAAGGATACCTTTCCTTTAATAGCAACCGCAAAAACTCTCGCTCAGGAGGGGTCTGCATTCTTGCTGAAAATGATTTAAGAAAAGGTGTTTCCTGTGTGCCTTGTAGTGAATCTGACGATATTATTGTTGTTAAACTTGACAAAAACTTTTGTTAGCTTTATTTTGATCTATTTTTAGTATGTTATTATATTAGCCCTGCATATTCGTCCTATGTCAAGAAATATCCAGACTGTACTGCTAAGACCTTCTCTGCTCTTGACACCCTCTGTATTAGACTACGTCAAAAAGAGGCATATCTACGAATTATCAAAATACCTGATGTTCGAAAAAGTCTGACAAGGTTTCGTATCAGCTGCCACAACCTCTACATTGAAAGTTGCAGATACGAAACCCCCCTTGTACCAAGTGAAGAACGTTGGTGCACCTACTGCTTTTTCAGCAAAGGGCTCAAGCCTATTGAGGACGAAAGTCACGTATTGATTGACTGTTTGCTCTACTCCTCAGTTAGGGAAAAATTCAATTTCCATCCCCAAAACATTGTTGACCTAGTCGGTTTGCTCTCCAACAAAACTTTAGATCCTACCACACTCACTGCCACAGCAAGAGCAATCCATTCATTTCTCTCTGTGAACGAACATTATACAGCCTATTATAAGAGCCCAGACTTCCACTCAAATACTGGCAAGTGCATAATGCTATAGGACCTTAAAATAAAATTGAACCATACAAACTCGATTAATCTATTTTTCTAAAACTAGCATTATATAACATTTCTAAATTATCCCTACACACTTGTAAATAATTAGAATTGTGTAACCTAAATTATTTCAGAATTACAACTATTGTGTACTCAGTAAAGTAATTATCACTTTTGTATCCTTTGTATCCTTGTATCCTTGTATCCATGTCTTTATAAAATCACTCACTCACAAAAATTGCCGACCCAATATCTATTGAAGTGGCGAAGATCGGCCAGACCGAGTATTACCATCCCATCCTTCTAGAGTTCATCACAAGTAGCACCCACCTTGAAGATTTTTGACACCCAGACACACCCCTTTGGCACACCCCAGCTCAACAAAACTTTGGATATAATCTTACATGCTCCCGATTGTCCCGAAGGAATCCCTGTTTATCATCAGCACTTTCACTAGGTCACCAGCTTTTTCACTGAAATCATCAGCCTTTTCACTGAAGTCATCAATCAGCCCTTTCAATAAAGATTTTAGCTCGTGTTCTAAACTACAAAACTTATCAAATTGTTCAAGTTCTAATAAAGCGATCACGACTGTTCTGTCAAAGCACTAGCAACTACTCAACTAGGAAGGTTCTTTAAAATTCTTTGAAGGGTCATAATTACTCAAATCTCTTGCTAACAATCAAGTTGTTGTTTCCTAGTTCTACAATTAAACGAATACAAAAATTACAGCCTTTCAGGTTTACATTTTTTGATATCCAGCTCAACATACGGTTTTGATACCAATAATGGGTATATACCGATGATCGTGTTAATAAATATTTGATTATATTACCATGAAACTTAGTATTGAAGTTTAAACTCTTTCTTGTGTAAGAATAACCTAAAGAAAAACGTACTAGTGTACTGTTACCAGTTACGGAAAGCAACTATTTAATTAAATTGAAGATAAATAAACAGAATACAGATGCACGATCCACAATACAAATACCAACTTAATCGACGGACAAATTGAGGAAATGAAAATTTCTTTTGGAAACGAGCTATATATAAGGCTAGGACGTAGCGCTCGACTCCAAATTGAAGTAAAATTAATACGCGATCTAACGAGTTGAACTGCCACTTTTTTGGCAGTTCGAATGTTGGAATTTCCACTACTGTGGTTGCGAGAAGCATTATTGGATGCGCGCGCGCGACCCAGTAGTGCATCGCGCTACAAGGGGTCACCACGTGATACAAGGGACCCCAGGCTAATAGGGACATAAACTATTATGTTCATAAATAAATATTCGGCGGAATGAAAGGCTGAGCGCCGCCCAGTAATCTTTACTATACCGGCTGCGTGTGTTAGTAAGGTGATTGCATCTTTACCCAGCGTGTTTAAGTTTACTGACTGTACACGTAACACGTGATACAATTAAGCCAATCAGAGAACAAGAATCTGCATCACCTGGGGCTACCCCAAGTAAGGCTATAAACCCCCAGGTAACGCTATAAGACCCCAGGTAAGGCTATAATGTTCATAAACATAATGAAGATTCGCGGCGGAATGATTACTGGGCCGCGCTCAGCCTGTCATTCCGCCGAATCTCTATTAATGAACATAATAGCCTGATTTCCCCAGGCAAAATAGCCTGAGGTCCGGCCCCAGGTAACGGAATGACAAATGACAGATGACAGGCTGTCGGCTGAGCGCTGCCTTCTCATACGTTGCATGTATGACCCGCCGCGCACGAGTGCGCGGCTCCCCCTGTATCGTCGAAACTCTACAGGGGTGTATAGTGAAGCGACAGTGGGGGTCACCACGTGATACAACCGCCGCCCAGAGTTGGAAACTTGGTTTTCCCAATTTTTGCTCTTGGTGACGCAAATTTTATGATACGAACATTTGACCGAAAACCGGTCAAATGCGCCGCCTATTTTCTCGCAACCACGGTATATCGGCGAAATGCACTACTGGGCCTTGCCGAGCTGCAATGGATTGACATTGTGAATCAATTATTTTATTTTCGGAGAAAGACCCTAATCGTTACCTGGCACACCAGTTCCTGTGCAGGGCGCTCTTTTCAAGCTTCCTGGACAGAAAGCTTGTAGTTGTATTTGTATGTGATTGCAAGTTTATAACCTATCAAGACGTACTGCGCTGAGTTCAACTCGTCGGCGGTCTTGAAACAAATATTTTGCGTGTATGGTGTATGGTGTATCACCCGTCAAGTACGTGAGCACTTACGTGAGAGGAGATCGAGAGAGCGAGCAATTAAATAAACTAGCAAGCAGACAAGCTAGGTAACCCTAATTGGTAATGCAATGTTTTCTGCACTTCGTAGCACTTGTACTTGCCAATTTTACAAAACGATATTTTTCTAAAGTAAAGGGATTGTAGCGCGATGCACTACTGGGTCGCGCGCGCATCAAATAATGCTTCTCGCGCATCAAATAATGCTTCTCGCAACCAACTCTTCGGTAGATCGGCGGGATGCACCACTGTGCCTCACCGAGCTGCGAAGGATTGACATCGTGAATCAAGTAAAGGGACAGTTGAAATTTACTTAATATATGATGTATTTTCAAACGCTTATTCAGAACATGCAATTAAATGACTTACTTCAAACTTGCATGGCACGCCAGGCCCTAGTGCCTAGTGTGACGTTCGCGGTGCTTTTTTCAAGCTTTCTGAATAGGAATATACTTAATTGACGATGTCAATTCATCGCAGCTCTGAGCTCGGCGCGGCACAGTAAAGCATCTCGCCGATCTAGCGATGGGAAGCCTCATTGAGTGCGCGGCGCGGCACAGTAACGCATCGCGCTACAAGAATATACATAATACTGAATACAGTATAGTACAGTATAGTACATGAAAGAAACTAAACGAGCAACAAACTAGCAGTAGCAAGCGACAAGCGAGGCGCTCACGAGTGCGCGGCTGTATTGTGTATATAATAGCGTGACTTTCACCCCGATACTAAATGAAATGACAATGAGGGTCACAACGTGATACAAAGCGCCATAAGTTGGCACCGAATTTTTGTTTCCGATTTTGATAAATTGGGTACCAAATTAAAAGTTGCCTCTCAGTTGTCAGTGTGAATAATAGTAAAACAAATTCATCGTGCAGCACGATAAGGTCGAGCTGTATCATGTGCATGGGCCTCTGCCCTCTTGTACATTGCAAGAATGGCCTGGGAAAAGGACGAAAAACGGATAATTTTTCGCGTAAAAAGCCTACGGATATCCTAAACTCAACAAACGCATCAAAAACCTAAACCATGGTGTAAGCAAGAATTACGATTATCTCAGAAAATTATATCATTATCTTGAAGAGAAATATATATCTAAATCTAATCGCGCTATACTTTTTGTCCATTTTATACAATTACAACGCGAGAAACGTCTATGTGCAATTTCACTTAATGGTGCTTCCCGGTTAATTTGTATTATTTAGTCTTTACACTTTCAACTTATGGTCTGATTAGAAGGTGTAGGACTCTCATAAATAGGTTACAAAGCTTTTTACTAAAATTTCATGCTCGAAGCAGTGCCCGTTTTGCGTAATAAGGGAAACCGATATTCATATAGTTGACTTTCGTGATTATATATGCAAATTTTTAAAAAATGCAAGCTCAATTCTGTGGAGAGTGAGTTTTGTACGTCTACCAGTCCGTGGCAAGCTTACACTTCACACGAGAAGTTTTGTTGTGTAGTTTTGTTTGTATCCGTTTTTAGCGGACCACACGGCGGATAGACAGTCCAGTTTCAAAATAACTTTTACCCTGAATCCTAACCCTGCAACTCCGCCAACTGAAACTAAACGGGTCCGCACGGCAACAGAATCAATCAATAAATCGGTAAAGGAGCTGACCATTCTGGCTCCCTTGAGGTAACCAACACCAGATCTATCACCATAACGACTGTCTCTGTCACCATATTAACAACCGTCACCACCACACTATCATGTTGGTGCTAGGATTAATAGTGGTCACCACACTGGCCTACATCTCACAGCTGGTCTGGAATGTTCTCACTAACTACAGAAAACACCAACATATTCCTATGCCTCCTGAAGATGGCTGGCTGGTCGGACATCTCGTTACCATCACAAAACATCGCTTCGATCAGACGTAAGCCATGTCTTTTACCACCTTGAATACCACTTTTCCCACCTCGAATACCCCGTTCTTAAAAGTTTTAATAGCATGGGGAGACTTTCCAAGTACGGGGATTTGAGAGATCAAATTCAATGCTGCTTGCTGATTGGCTAATGGCTGTCACATGTCAAAACCAACGGGCTCCATATCTCTAAGCTTTTGCCCATATCTAAGAGGCTTAGAGGCTGATTCTGTACTTATTCAGTAATAACATAATGTAATTTTAACATGACAGATTGATACAAGCCATAGCAAAATACACAAAGCAGTGTGGAGAGGTTTTCCATATACGACTGATGACTCATTGCCTGGTAATACTCTTAATGTTAAGATATTTTAACTTTCGCTTTCACTTTCACTTTGATCTAACTTTTACTATCACTATAGCTTTTACTTTCATGTTTGTTTCAATGCCTGGTTAAACAGCAAATTTTCTTGTAAAGATCGTGAATTATTTAATCTTTCTTCCTCGAATATTATTCAATGACAGATTTATTAACTTATATCTCTAGTTTATAACTTATTAACTATCAATTCCTTCTTTTTGGTAGATAGTTGTTCACGACCCAGTGATTCTAAAAGAGATTCTAAACGACCCAGACAACTTCCCAAAGAACAACAGTGTCATCAACAGACGGTTTGGGAAGCAGAAAGTGCTGGGTGAGCACAGCTTTCTCTCATCTCAAGGAGGTAAATACTTGAACTGCTTACTTTGTACTTGTCTACAGCAATTTTATATCACTAAACTTAACATAGTATTCAGGGTAGCCCCACTATAGCCAGTCAGATAGTTCAGGACCAAATCCCTTTGAAGTCGGTTTTATTACGCCCATCTCCAAGTGCATGGTTTACCATATTACCAAGTGCATGGTTTACCATATTAGATACAACTACCTGTTTGGTTTTTACCAGTAGACAGAAAAACTTTGATGAACATTGCTAGCCATGCTCCCAGATGAATTAATATATAGTTTATAGGTCTACTGTTAAAACGGGAAAATGATCCAAATAAAGCTGTCTATCGATATTTATAAATGCTATTCAGTTCATCATTATAACTTCAGGAGATGTTTGGTTTCACAAAAGGAAAAGTATGGCCAAGTTTCTCAACCATTTAAATATCCGAAAATACTTCGACAACGTCAGGTTTGGAGTTGGATTAGAACGTCCATTATTAGATCTTTACTAATATTACGCAACTGCGTTACCATACAAAATACTGAGTTATAATCCCACTTAAAGATTTAATCATTAATCGACATATTATTTCATCATGTATTTATGACAGCATTATAGACTGACAGGGACACTTATTTACCCCTCCCATTCACCCCTCCCTCACTCGCACCCCTTCCTCCCTCTCACCCTCCCTCTAACCCCTCCTTCACTATCACCCTCCCTCTCACCCTCCTTCTCACCCCTCCCACTCACCCTCCCTCTTACCCTCCTTCTCACCCCTCCCTCTCACCCTCCCTCTCACCCTCCCCTCACCCTCCCTCTCACCCCTCCCTCTCACCCCTCCTTCTCACCCTCCCTCTCACCCTCTCACTTACCCCTCCCTCTCACCCTCCCTCTCACCCTCCCTCTCGACCCTCCCACTCACCCTCCCTCTTACCCTCCTTCTCACCCCTCCCTCTCACCCTCCCTCTCACCCTCCCTCTCACCCTCCCTCTCACCCCTCCCTCTCACCCCTCCCTCTCACCCTCCCTCTCACCCTCCCTCCCACCCCTCCCTCTCACCCTCCCTCTCACCCTCCCTATCACCCCTCCCTCTCACCCTCCTTCTCATCCCTCCCTCTCACCCTCCTTCTCACCCCTCCCTCTCACCCTCCCTCTCGCCCTCTCACTCAACCCTCCCTCTCACCCCTCCCTCTCACCCTCCTTCTCGCCCCTCCCTCTCACCCTCCCTCTCACCCTCTCACTCACCCCTCCCTCTCACCCCTCCCTCTCACCCTCCCTCTCACCCCTCCCTCTCACCCTCCCTCCCACCCCTCCCTCTTACCCCTCCCTCTCACCCCTCCCTCTCACCCTCCCTCAGATCAGCGACAGAGCAATTATTACTGGAGGTTCAGGAGAAAGCTAACGGTAAGGAAATTCTGGATCTGAATGATATCAGTGGTGGTGTTGTCACCTCTATCATAGGCCAACTTGGACTCGACAACGGTATTGAGATGGTTCGTGTAATCCAGTGTTTGTTGGCGAAACTTGAATTTGTGGATGCGGATCAATAACAAAACAATTCGGTCACCATCCTTATCTTGTTTGGCGCGTTTTTCTCTAAAAGTGGTCACTACGTTTGCTTGCACTTCCAAGTTATTTATAAATTTATATACACAACTATTTAAAAACTGTAATGTAAACCACAGTAATGTGTGTTTGCAGGGTTCTCCCAATTGTAAGGAAATAGCAAGTGCAATTCACGTAATGATCACAGAGATGAACACGGCATTCTTTACGCCCTTCTACCATTACACCCCTGGAATCTGGGAGAAACACAAGAAACTGGTTAGTGAAGTTGTTAGTCACGTTGAATGGATTAAAAGTTTTAGAGATTTTGGAAGAATTGTTGGTTGATTTGACACTTGACACACCGTCATCCCAGGTTATGGAGAAGATCATATTTCTGAGATCTAAGTGCGCTGATATTCTTAAAATAAGAAGGGAACAGATGAAGCTGGTTAGTTCTGGTGCCTGTCAGCCATTTATTTAGCGGATCGAAAGTAATTTAGCTGAATATCTGCAAAATAGAATTGTTAAAGTTATTTGGATTTTCTTCCTTCAACGGACGACCTAAAATTAAACAGGGCATCGCAGCAGAAGAAGATATTATAGCGCACATTGTGAAGATGAACGACTCTCAGTTTCCAGAACAAGACGAGTTTATCATTGACGATATTATGACAGTATTTCTAGCAAGTGTTAGTATCCTGAGTACACTTTATCATTTCTTAAACCATGTTCGAGACAGGATCGTCGGCTAAAAGTTCTTAAAATTACGTTCATTCTTAGCGATAGAATAAATGTCGTTGCATGGGAGCATTGCTTCGTCTTTTTCAGGTTTAGGTAAAAATTCATCAAAATTCAATTTATCTACCTCATTTGATTCCATTACATTGCGTTTAGTGTCTGTAGACAGTTGAACTTTTCTTTTCTCAGGAAAACACACCAAGGACAATAGTTATGTGTCTAGCGTTTCTGGTAAGGAATCCTCACCAACTAGGGAAGCTACTGTTCGAGATAGACAGCGTGCTGAAAGACAAGCAGGTCCCGGACATTGACGATCTGGATAAACTGAAGTACACTGAAATGGTAGGTGTGTTGGTTGCAACAGTTGACAAGGTTACATTGCAACAGTTACAATGGTTACTGTTTTAGGTTATTGTTTGTTCTCGTGTATTTTCTGAACGACACTGACTTTTTGTTTTCATCAACTATCCCAAATGAACAGTTTTAAGTATGTTTTAAGGTTTAAACTTTTTAAAATAACTAAAAGTTCTCCCTCCCCTTAAAGACGATTCTAGAGACCTTGAGACTGTATCCAGCGGTATCCCGGAACTCCAGAATATCTCGACAAGAGCGAACCCTGAACAACATTACCTTCCCTGCGGGTTCAAGAACAGTCACTTTCTACGAGCTGTTCCACAAGAATGAGAAGTACTGGAAGGACCCGGAGGAGTTTAGACCGCTGAGATTCGCCGAGACAAAGAACAGAGTTCCTTACACTTATCTCTCTTTTCTAGCTGGACCCAGGTCGTGTCTGGGCAAACCTCTTGCTATCATGCAGATGAAGACCATTCTTGCTTCTTTGGTAGGGTGTTCGTATTAACATATGATCGGTACTTATGTCGTGGTTTTCCATAATAGCCAAACACTTTTAGATGCTCCAGCTGATTGTTATCTTTCTGACTATCGCTCTGTTAAGGAACTGTTAGTGTAAAGTATAAATCCTCTCCTTGTGTTTAAAATTAAACAATCCTCAGTTACGACACTACAAGTTCGCCCATCTTCCCGGGGAGGAGGAGATTAAGATCATGCAGAGTTACGTACTACTGAAACTGTCTCAAGGGTTCAGATGCACTGTAGTCCCCCGGGATCACTCCCGTCCCAGAACCAGAAATCTCTCCAGGTTTAAGAGTGGGAATTAGAAAATTGTTTCTTTCTCGCATTTTGAAATACTGCTGCTCGTTCAAAGTTTGATCTGAAGTTCACTAACAACAATACTCTCCCAGATTCCCGGAGAAAGCAGCACTCTTTTCCTCAAGGAAAACAGCAATTCACTCAGTTCCGGATGTTACGAGAATATTCGACCCTCCCGTTCTACCTTAGTCGTAGGAGCTGGACTCCTTTACCAATATCATCGGTTAAACTCTGAAAACTCTTGACCTGACAGATTATATTTGAGATAGAACCATGACTTCCAACTAGTATATTTTTATATGAACTTCTGGAGTACGAACTTTTTCAGGAAAACTGATCTTTTTGGAACTGAAATGATCAAGTTATCTAGGTTATTGTAGGAACTCAATTAGATTATAACTCGATTAGGTTATTGTAGGATATTATAGGTTACCCATTACAGAAACTTATAGTGAATGTTCATCTTGGTGGCGCATTATTTGCCTACATAGTTACATAATCATATCACTAATACTAATACTCATAATCATACAAGTAATTCCGTGCTTACAGAGTGAGATATCATAATCAGTGGAAGTATATGGCTAACAGAGTTACAGTTGTTGTTTGCAAGTATAAACTACCGTATGTGCTCGATTGTTTCAATTATAAGTCAAAGTGTTATGAACACGTTTTCCATGCAAATAGCAATACAGTTCAAGTTACTTGAACCATACTTGATTCAAGTATGGTTGAGGTTGCTTCTTTTAAGTATTTGTATATATTGGAGAGTTATTATTGATAAAGTGAGTTCTGAAGAAATATTCATGAAATCAGCAAAGAATTTAGAATCATACACTGTTTCAGTTGCTTGATGAGGAGAAGCTGTCGCTTTAAAAATAACATATTTGATAATAAAGGATCAACATTTTTGTTCGAATTTGATGATGAATTAAACAGGAATTAAACATAAAATGACCAAGGAGAACACTAACGATCACTCGTCTTGGTAATACATCAATTCATAAATTGATGTATTACCAAGACGTTGTATAAAATATGATAAAAAACGCCATCACGGATCGGAAAATTGAGCGGCCATCCACAAAAGAAAAGCGGCCGCATTTCTTGTTAAAAGTTGATTTTTGCCAACGTAACAACTTTTCAAATCGATTTTACAACATTAAGGAGTAATTTTATCCAAAATTTGAGGTCATATTGAATTGTTAAATAATTGTTGAAGCATTCTCAAAATCTACAACAAAGTTTTTTTAGTTTTCTCCTTCATAAAGATATTCGCTTTTTGAAGAATAATTTTATAAAACTCCCTTGGGTTGTGGAGCTCAGTTCAGCTTCCTATGGGTCTATATTGTGCATTAGGATAGTTTAAAAGTTGTGAATTTAAAAGTTGCACACGTGGGGACACGCCCAAACCTGATTAAGATATCGTTATGTGGCAAAGTTTGCTCATATCCTCATATCATCAAACTGGAATGAACGTGTCCATATACTTCACGACAAATACAATCTGTCGCAAAACAGGGGTCCAGAAAACCCACTTCTCGATACACCCGAAACTTGAAACTTTTTTGCAGTCGATTTGGTCAACGTCTAGAGTCTCTAGAAGCCCTGCAAAATTTCAGATCTCAATCTCAATTTTAGCATGGTTTTTAAGGCACATGAAAATGGTGATTTTGGGTTTTTACCGAATTTCGTATAACACTAACAGTGCGGGCGCGTATTTTATGCAAATTTCTTAAAAATCTCCACATTACTATTTCTTATTCCTGTCATCATCGACATTGAATTAGAATGTTTTAAACTAAAAACAAACCTTCTGGAAGACTTCCGATGAATCTTAATGTCCGGAAAAGGGTAAAGGGGTATAATAGTATAGTGATGATAATGGCAACGGTCGTGCTTGCCAGCACTGTGATTTCGAATGTGATATAAGTAGAGGTTATTCTGTTAGCTTCCGGACAATAATGAAAAGATTTCCGTCGTTAACTTAGGCACAATAAATTACTCCGTCAACTGTGCCAATTCTGGTAAAAAGTTTGAAATGCAAAACATATTTTTTGAAAAAACTATCACGAACTTTAACTTGAAAGTCGACATTATAATTGAACGACGTTTATTTGGATGGCATTTCACGTTACGTAACCATCGTTCAATTGATGTCCTTGTACCAAAAAGTGTCCAAATAATTCTCAATGCTGTATAATGAACTCGTTATACAATTTGGTTGTGGAACTGTAACAGACACTAACAATGATAGAGGTTGCAGTTCTCGTATTATTTACATCATAGCTATAAAAATAGAGTCGGCTTGCTTGAATAGAATCTAAAGTTCAATGTAAAATTCTAAGTGATTTTAATACTAAACTCAATAAGTGTTATGTGCACGTCCGACATGTGAGCCCATCGCATGTTCCTCAAGTGGCAGTATAAAGCGAGTAATACAATCCATATTTACCCAATTTATAGTTCTAAATTTTAAATAGCTAATCACCTCACCCTTCTTTGTTGTGACTTTTCCTACCCTAAATTAAAAAACTACCATAGTGAAATCAAGTATTTTAGTGCGCCTAAAATTGAATACTGAAAGGCCGCATCTCCACAATACTTTTGTCCATCTTTAGTCCTTTGTAAATTGTCTTTCTGTGTCCTTCATTCATTTACATGAAGGAGTAAAACCGTTTGGCCCAAAGGTATTCGGTATTCTATGTCATCCGGGAATTCTATTACAAATAAACGCATCGGGCGACATAAAATTATATTGCTGTCCTTACATGTCAACCGGAAATCCAGAGTTAAATCCAAACCATTGACAGTGATAACTTCGTTTGGAGTTTGAACAGTTGGGGACAGGTTGCACAGCCTCTCCCCCCACAGTTTTGGCTGACGGTGAAAGAATCCGTTTCGGAGCACGAACTGAGTTTTCTATTTCGCACTACTGTGTTGCCTATAGATGGCTGTTTACGTAGTGCAAACAATATCTGTACGTCTCCGCATAACTCTACTCTTTATCATGATAATATTTAGATTTTGTAAAAATTGTTAATCTTCTTTCACTCTTTCTAGTACTATGTACAAAAAAAGCATACATATTCTGAGGGAAAAGATCCTTTTTCCTCGTGGCAGCCACCCTCTGTCGAGACTAAATTATACGTAAAAAACTGCACATAATCCCAACTACGACACAGACTTAGCAAGTCTGAGACGTAAAGTAGCGGAGCTAGCAGCTCGGTATAATTAACCTAGGCTACACGTCATTCTTCAATAATGACGTGGAACTCATAAGCTCCGCTCCAGTACCAGGCTATCAAGTAGCAGGTGCACTGTCTAGCTGAATTATGTGCATAGTCAGATTAACCATCCCAGTCAATTATGTTGCGAGATGGAAACTCTACGTATGTCTGGGAGTATGAAGTAGCCTAGTCAGCATTGCCATGTTTGTGTTCCCGGATATGTCACGTACTTTATTATTAATAATGGTACGTGGTATATCCGGTTATTAAGCTTGTTAACGTTCGTTACAAATAATTGAAAAGGGATTTCCTTTCACCGATAGTTGTAGTTGCAGCTATAATTAGCACCGTCAACTGTGCCGGAAAATGGAAAATATAGGTTTGCAACTATGTCATATAATGTCACGTCATGTTTCTGGTGCCGAAATAAACTATCACGTAACTTTTTAAGCTTGTTAACGTTCGTTATTCATCTAAAGAGATGTCTCTTCACCGATAGTTGCATTTGTGTTTATTGTTTGCTAGTTTCACTGTTACCGTAACATTGATCGAAGTTGATAGTTACTTGTTTAGCAACCACAAGATAACGCTTCTCTCAATCTGTTGATAAGGAACTCGTTATAAGTTGTGTTGTGAGATGAGCTAACCATGACACTAACAATGAAGCAGCATTGTTCGCAGTCAGATTGCATGTATGAGTTAACTGCAAGTGATAAGCAGTCGTGCTTGCTTGAATTTCAGAATCTTGTGTCAATGTAAAATCTTCTTAAGTGCTTTTAATGACTAATGTACTCAAATTATTATTTTGATTATTGTGCACGTCGCGACATGTAGTTCACGCCCTATCTGTATTTTCCTCATAGTGTGCAGCTGATAAAGGGTCCCAATGAGCAATCGACCATATTCTTCGCAAGTTTTGCATAGTTTATACGTAAGGTGTTATAAATGGGTCTCAATCACCATCGACCGCCTTCTTTTGTGAAGTCTTTTCCCTACCCTATTAAATTAAAATAACCACGGCGTACTTATTCAATAGTGAATACTTGCATAAGTATTTCCTGCAGTGTTCGCCTAAAAGGTGTTTTGAATACTGAATAGGTCCTGCAATCTCCATCCACCATCTTTTGTCCAGCTCCTTTAGTCCTTTGTACTGATTAGTCTTTCCTTGACTCCTTCCGATTACAATAACCATGGTGTAGTAAATACATCAAGCATTTCCACCAGAGTTATTTCGGTATTCTATTGTCATGACCGTGAACTCCTAACGGAAAGATAAAATCGCCCCATCCGTTTAAAAATTAATTTAAGCAACGTAGGGTGCTTTTGTGCATACTCCTCGATATCGAGCTCACTTAAATATGTTTTGACAAGTTTATAAACATGTTGTGAGTAGGTACTATAAAAGCAGGTACTCCCGGAGGTGGGACCAACACCTGAACACCATTCACCCTTGTAACAAGCTAGCGAGGTTTTATAAGTCCCTACAAGAACAGGTCAAATTAGTCAGGTCATTATTGAGTTGGTACCCTGTCGGACACTTGTACCGCTAACCCCACTATTGAACAGTATGATACCTACCACCTTGGTCTGGAGAAATTAGAACGTGTAGATACACTTGTCACTAGTCCGGATACAGTACACGTCATGGTAGATCGATAATATCTTTTAGCGTCTCTTCTTATAACGTGCATATTTATTCAGGATAATTGGATAAAGATCCTATATAGTTCGTCATTTATCCTGCTTTGTTAGTTTTTATAAAGAGTTCTATTTATAAAGACGTCTGAGGTAATCGTATGATATCAATTAAAATATGGTCGGGTGAGTGCCAAGTGCCAACATAATATCACTATCCAGTAACTGCTTATCATCCTAATCAGTTCATATATAGATAATATCTAGTTTAGCCCCCAGTATTGTGGACAAAAAGCTGTAGGGGCGGCAAATAAGAAGACCTGACCTTATTTTTGTCTTTTCTTTTCTTTTTAGGATATTAGAAAATGTTTTAGGTGGGCAGTAAAACCATTTAGTGGAGTAGGGGACATAGGCACGTTTCGCCACTGAAATTCACACTAGCTTATCATATCTTTTAGTGTATCCGTATCACGTGTGTATTTATTCATGATAATTGGATAAATATCCTATATAGTTTGTTATCGTTTATCTAGCACTGTTAGTTCCTGAGAACGGCGGAGTAAATCATGTGGTATTGATAAAAGTATCACTATTCAGTAACCATATATCATGCTTGTCAGTTCGTATACAGATAATATCTTGTTTAACCACAGTTTCTAGTTTAACCACCAGTATCTAGTTTAACCACCAGTATCTAATTTAACCACCAGTATCTAGTTTAACCACAGTTTCTAGTTTAACCACAGTTTCTAGTTTAACCACAGTATCTAGTTTAACCACAATATCTAGTTTAACCACCAATATCTAGTTTAACCACCAGTATCTAGTTTAACCACAATATATAGTTTAACCACAATATCTAGTTTAACCACAGTATCTAGTTTAACCACAGTATCTAGTTCAGCCCCAGTATCTAGTTTAAGCACCAGTATCTTGTTTAATCACAATATCTAGTTTAACCACAAGTATCTAGTTTAACCACCAGTATCTAGTTTAACCACCAGTACCTAGTTTAACCACCAGTATCTAGTTTAACCACAGTTTCTAGTTTAACCACAGTTTTTAGTTTAACCACAGTATCTAGTTTAACCACAATATCTAGTTTAACCACCAATATCTAGTTTAACCACCAGTATCTAGTTTAACCACAATATATAGTTTAACCACAATATCTAGTTTAACCACAGTATCTAGTTTAACCACAGTATCTAGTTCAGCCCCAGTATCTAGTTTAAGCACCAGTATCTTGTTTAATCACAATATCTAGTTTAACCACCAGTATCTAGTTTAACCCCAGTATCTAGTTTAACCACCAGTATCTAGTTTAACCCCAGTATATAGTTCAGCCCCAGTATCTAGTTTAACCACCAGTATCTAGTTTAACCCCAGTATCTAGTCAGCCCCAGTATCTAGTTTAACCACAGTATATAGTTTAACCACAGTATCTAGTTTAACCACCAGTATCTAGTTCAGCCCCAGTATCTAGTTTAAGCACCAGTATCTAGTTTAGCCCCAGTATCTAGTTTAAGCACCAGTATCTTGTTTAATCACAATATCTAGTTTAACCACCAGTATCTAGTTTAACCACAGTATCTAGTTTAAGCACCAGTATCTAGTTTAACCACAGTTTCTAGTTTAACCACAGTTTTTAGTTTAACCACAGTATCTAGTTTAACCACAATATCTAGTTTAACCACCAATATCTAGTTTAACCACCAGTATCTAGTTTAACCACAATATATAGTTTAACCACAATATCTAGTTTAACCACAGTATCTAGTTTAACCACAGTATCTAGTTCAGCCCCAGTATCTAGTTTAAGCACCAGTATCTTGTTTAATCACAATATCTAGCTTAACCACCAGTATCTAGTTTAACCCCAGTATCTAGTTTAACCACCAGTATCTAGTTTAACCCCAGTATATAGTTCAGCCCCAGTATCTAGTTTAACCACCAGTATCTAGTTTAACCCCAGTATCTAGTTCAGCCCCAGTATCTAGTTTAACCACAGTATATAGTTTAACCACAGTATCTAGTTTAACCACCAGTATCTAGTTCAGCCCCAGTATCTAGTTTAAGCACCAGTATCTAGTTTAGCCCCAGTATCTAGTTTAAGCACCAGTATCTTGTTTAATCACAATATCTAGTTTAACCACCAGTATCTAGTTTAACCACAGTATCTAGTTTAAGCACCAGTATCTAGTTCAGCCCCAGTATCTAGTTTAACCACCAGTATCTAGTTTAACCACCAGTATCTAGTTTAAGCACCAGTATCTAGTTCAGCCCAAGTATCTAGTTTAACCACCAGTATCTAGTTTAACCACCAGTATCTAGTTTAGCCACCAGTATCTAGTTTAACCCCAGTATCTAGTTTAGCTCTAGAATATAGTTTATCCCCAGTATATAGTTTAACCACCAGTATCTAGTTTAAGCACCAGTATCTAGTTCAGCCCAAGTATCTAGTTTAACCACCAGTATCTAGTTTAACCACCAGTATCTAGTTTAACCACCAGTATCTAGTTTAACCCCAGTATATAGTTTAAGCACCAGTATCTTGTTTAATCACAATATCTAGTTTAACCACCAGTATCTAGTTTAACCCCAGTATCTAGTTCAGCCCCAGTATCTAGTTTAAGCACCAGTATCTTGTTTAATCACAATATCTAGTTTAACCACCAGTATCTAGTTTAACCCCAGTATATAGTTCAGCCCCAGTATCTAGTTTAAGCACCAGTATCTCGTTTAATCACAATATCTAGTTTAACCACCAGTATCTAGTTTAACCCCAGTATCTAGTTCAGCCCCAGTATCTAGTTTAACCACAGTATATAGTTTAACCACAGTATCTAGTTCAACCACCAGTATCTAGTTCAGCCCCAGTATCTAGTTTAAGCACCAGTATCTAGTTTAGCCCCAGTATCTAGTTTAAGCACCAGTATCTTGTTTAATCACAATATCTAGTTTAACCACCAGTATCTAGTTTAAGCATCAGTATCTAGTTCAGCCCCAGTATCTAGTTTAACCACCAGTATCTAGTTTAACCACCAGTATCTAGTTTAAGCACCAGTATCTAGTTCAGCCCAAGTATCTAGTTTAACCACCAGTATCTAGTTAAACCACCAGTATCTAGTTTAACCCCAGTATCTAGTTTAGCTCTAGAATATAGTTTAGCCCCAGTATCTAGTTTAGCCCCAGTATCTAGTTTAGCCCCAGTATCTAGTTTAACCACAGTATCTAGTTTAACCCCAGTATCTAGTTTAACCACAGTATCTAGTTTAACCACAGTATCTAGTTTAACCACCAGTATCTAGTTTAAGCACCAGTATCTAGTTCAGCCCAAGTATCTAGTTTAACCACCAGTATCTAGTTTAACCACCAGTATCTAGTTTAAGCACCAGTATCTAGTTCAGCCCAAGTATCTAGTTTAACCACCAGTATCTAGTTTAACCACCAGTATCTAGTTAAACCACCAGTATCTAGTTTAACCCCAGTATCTAGTTTAGCTCTAGAATATAGTTTAAGCACCAGTATCTAGTTCGGCCCCAGTATCTAGTTTAACCACCAGTATCTAGTTTAACCACCAGTATCTAGTTTAAGCACCAGTATCTAGTTCAGCCCAAGTATCTAGTTTAACCACCAGTATCTAGTTTAACCACCAGTATCTAGTTTAGCTCTAGAATATAGTTTAGCCCCAGTATCTAGTTTAGCCCCAGTATCTAGTTCAGCCCAAGTATCTAGTTTAGCCCTAAAACCTACCTTTAACATATCATAAGCCCCAGGTCTGATGCAGGGATGTGTGTTTTCAACTGAAGTCACGCTAGCTCACGCCCAGTGAAGGGTCACGTGACGTGACACGCCGTAACTGCCTTTTACACTATATCCACGCACTTTGACTGATTTACATTGAACACAAGCATGTTGTTGAGCGAGCAGAGGTTTAACGTTTTTATCAAAAGCACATTTAACAGCCATCTCAGCGCAAAGTGGCCACTTTTTTTCTGAAATTGCGACGTTCGTTTCTGAAATATAAGTTATGTTTTTTTCACCTTTTACATGAGACCATTCAACTTGTGGTTAGTTTAAAATAGTCTGTATACCCCACTTGACAAAGTACGCTACAGGTTATTTACACCTCTCTACTCAATCCTTTTATTATGTAAAATTAATTATCCGGACACGTTATCATTATGAGAAAAGCACGTGACATTCACGTGACATGCTGGAACTGATCAGCCTGCTTGTCACAACAAGCCCACGTGCACTATCACAAGCCCACGTGCTTTATCGTGTAATTCCCATTAGTTTTAGAGTAAGTATTTTGCATCACAGTGCCACGTGACACCTGGACGTACTATTTATCTTCGCAGGTTGCAATGTGCGCGTATGTATGGGAGATGATCTGTGAGGGGAGGCTTTCACAACGTTCAAATCAACGTCCTTAGCTTGATTTTTCAATGTGTTGTCAGATTTGCTGCTCGAATAACTTACACATACAGTTAAAATTGTTCAAATCTTTCATTCGTAGGTTTATTAAATATTATTGATTTGTAGCTCTCTTTCTTGGATATAATCTCGTCAAGCTCGATTGCTATTTGTGTCATTTCTATTACTTATAAACTTATCACTTGATGAATGATCTTAACTTTTCTCGTTTTAAAACGCCCATTTTTTCGGGAGTTTAACTTTTTCATCACTTGACGAAAGGTTTTTTAATTTCTTGGTTTAAAAACGCCTCTTTTTTGCGAGTTTTCACAGGATCAATCGATATCTTTTATCATCTTGTTTGTTTTTTCTTTTGTTTGCTTAGATTCGGCTTAAATCAATTAATGTGACTGATATGTTACCAAGACGGATCCAATTTTAGACCACCGAAATAAAATAAACAGTTCATTTTGCGGTCATCCATTTAAACCTCTGTAGCAAGGAGCAGCAAAAAGGAGCAACAAGGAGCAACAACAAGGAGCAACAAGGACCACGACAGTTTAAAGTTTCAATCCTCTTCAAGGGTTGTAACATTGTCCACTCTTGGTTCTCTGAGTGAACCAAGAGTGGACAATGTCAACTTCACTGAATCTCTTGTCGCATAATTTCTATCCTGATTTAATTTTTAAACGATGTTAGCTGATTCTCCGTACATTTGTAGTTTTTGTTATTGTAGACTGGAGGTGGCACTATATTTAACTGATCACTAATTAGAAATCTTAGGACTGTATGCCTGAGTGCCAGATGCTAGGTGAAAAACCCCGAGAAACCCTCTCCTTTATAAAAACGTACTGTATACAGTGCATAATTTATAAGCCTCAAATCCTGACGCCACTTGTGCCAAGTGAACCACAGCGTTGCTAATGCGGTTACTACAAATTATTTAATGTCATATTCGTCAGGGTAACAGTAGTACAGATTGGTAACACAGGTTACTCACCGGTAAATCATAGTGCAGTCAGCGCAGTGTGCGTCACATATAGTCCTCTTAAAAATTATATTATTACTGCTGTTACACATCTGGAAACATCAGCCGCATTTAGTGTTCCTGTTAAGTTTTCAGCAATCGTGGGGACGAAAGTTGCTTACTTGTTCGAGTTTCCCAAGTTATAATAGATAGTCTCATAGATTGATCAGTCTAAAGCATTCCTATTCTTTTTCCACCCAATTTTATTCTGAATCGTCATTTTCCTGACTGATTTTTTGAGATGGTACGTTCTAGACTTTCGGTTAGATACTGACACACCTTGTACAAATTAGATGAAGTACAATTTTCCTTGCAATTACATTTCTCAGAGACACATTTAGGTGCTAGTGTTCCAAATTTGTCTACCAATGTGTTTCTGGAATGCTGGTGAGTGGTGTCCTTCTTCAAATTTACTGATGTACCTTCAAAACTTTCAGTTTACAGGTAAGTGATTTATAGTGACACACCTTGTGCAGATTTAATGAAGTTCCCTGCTTAAGTTGAAACAAATAGTACATTGTCAGTTTTATATAGTGGTAACCGGTGGTAAAATAACATTTGATCTAGTTTTCTGTCATAGCTAACTATACTTTATCGAGTTATTGTTTCTCTAATTACCTTGCTTAGCTGAATTGTGTTATATCTGGGTAGCATTTGTAACTATAGCACCTCTTCTGCTCTTTAAGTTTCATAGCGTATAACTTGTGTAGTGGCCTGTTTTTAGTTGACTCAATTTCGCGGATCTACTCCAAGGCTCTACGACTACAGTCTACAGTAAATGGAATGCTATAGTGGCACATGAGTACTCTCACCTCTTTTATCTGATTTGATAAATGTAATTTCAATTTCAAAATCAGTTTTTTTAAACTTTTACAGAAAACTCCAGTTTTTATAACTGTTACTTTTAAAAGAAAACTATTTTTGTCACTACATTTTGTTATATTTCTTTAAGTTTGATATAAACATTAAGTTATTTGTTTAGATTTAGTTCGTTAAGATTGCATCGTTTTTATAATCATTTCTGTTACAGCGACTAATAAAAATGAACCTCTAAAGTTCACGGCGACAAAGCTGATAAGCCCGCGACTATTTATTCTTTTACCGATCGATTTCAAATGTATCTGAAATCTATTATAATCATATACGAATAGCCGTTAAGCCGTTATCGCTATTACATGTACCTTGGACACCAGAGTGTCCTCGTTGCTAACCAAGCATCAAAGTGTGGCCGTATCTTGTGTTAGTGCACCTCTTCCATACCTGAAGAGTCGTAACTGCCCAGGAGAATGACAAGGAAGAGGAAGATGTGAAAAGAAGATGGGAAACGTTATACAGCCCGCCGAATCTCGTACTCATGATATTGAGACTATCCTCCACCAAAACGGAATAGGTTAGTAGCAATCTAACATTGGTACTATCCTCCACCACTGGCACAATGTATGCCCAGTATATATCGTGCTTATATACGATTTAGCGTCTCAGAACATGTCTTTATGCTCCTAATCGTACCTCAACCAGTCAACCTGGTATCGATAATTTGTTTATCTTGTATCCGAACTAAGATTAGTAAGAAACCTCCAGTGATAAATGGTCATCTGAAGAACAGTACATCATCCTCAGAACCACTGATAGAAGATTTCACACCGAGGAGTTCCCGAAACCACTCAGGAGAGGAAAAACGTGTTAGATTCCAGAATGTGGAGATAACGGACCAAAAGAATGTTGTGGTGGTCAAAGCCAACGAGGTAAATTCCCAATTCTCAATATCTTGTTGTTATCCTGGGTGTTTTCCCTGATATTTTCAGTTTTATAATTGTCCTGCATCATGCATTTCTGTGCGATAATTTTGTACGATTCTACTAATTTAAATGCAATCTGATGGATTCATATCGTTGACTATAATTTTTGAAGTAAGACTGAATTTCGCGATGGAAGAATTTATTTTCTAACTCCAGCACTTAAAATGTTTTTCTCATAGAGCAGCACTCTTTAAAAAGCAATTTAAAACATTCACAACGTGACCAATAGACATAACCGATTTAAGATGTAATTATGACTATAAAATCATCCACGCTTTAATTCGAGATGCATAAAATTTTAATTCTTGCTTGAATAATTTTTGTCTGAGAATTGCGCTGGAGAAGTCGTATCAGCTCATGCTTGTTAACAAAAAGTTCTTTGTGTTGTGCTTGTTTCTGACTGAGAAGATACAGAACTCATTGTAACAGATTCTTGGCAAGACGGAGATAACTTGACAAATGCCTTGATTTAGAGAAACATGGTATCTATACAGCAACAACAGAATTAAGAACGTATCTCTTTTACAACAATTTGGCAAATTTCAGGTGCATGATTCAGCTATTTACGTATCAAAATGTGACTGAATATTTGTGGAATGTTTAAAAGAGATGCATGATCACCTCCCTAACAGAAGGGTGGAATATTTAAGCAACTGGGAGGGGCTGGCCCTTGTGCACGTGATCAATGTGTACACTGTTTTATAGTACCGAGCTCTGTGGAGCAAAGTGAACTTAATTGCTGAATATTTCAGTACCAAAGTAACCCTTATTTTCTTCAGAACCGAAGCTCGGCCAGCAGTAGTGGTTATGAGAGTAAGAGTTGTTCGAGCATTGATAGTGATGCGGAAAACATTAGAGGAGAATCCAGGTTAGAAAACTAGTTCAGCAGTTCAGAGATTTAGTTTATCCTAGTAGTAATCAACTTTAAATTATCTGAAGTGTATTTTTAGAATCTAAATTAGCTGATCACATTTGTTGATTCTGATATCTTCATAACATTCAGTTTAGAACCTAGTCACTGAGGTAACGTAAAACTGAACTCATCTAAAACATATCTCCGACAGTGAAACAGTGTCTCCTCTGTGCAGCTCAGCTATAAAAGACATCCTGACCTGTGACGAATGTGGTAAGCGGTTCTGCAAATCAGGACTGTACCTGCAACACATCCGAACCAGAGCCCACCTAGGCTGCAATCCAGACGACATAATCGACCAGACATCTATCAAAAAGATAGTAGTGGCTGAGAGACAGTATCCAAGTCCGAAGACCATTGCCAAGGCTCATGCTGACTCAATCAGGAAAACCAGATCTTATAATACGGTGGGTTTAGTTTGTTCACGTTTCTCAATTTATAATTGGATGCCGAGTGTTTCAACTCTCGAAAAATCGCCTAATGTTTTATATCCGGCTAAGAACCTAATACACAGCTCCGTAGTACCAACCCTCACCCTAACCAGTAAAATTAAACCTTGATCCCAATCTAGTCCCCAGTTTTGTCACATACATGATATTAGATATTAGATATTGATGTTCTAACCATCATTTCACTCAGGAGAGAGACCTGCTATGGGTGTCCCCCGAGAAGCTCCGGCCTAAATCAGCCCGGCCCGAACACCGAATACTGGGACCCCTGGGGAACTCCTATCTGCACTGGCTAACACACTTGGAGAGACTAGACCGGCTGGATGATGAGACCGAGAGCAGCGATACTGGGGAGGACAGATCACCCCCGAGCACCGGGGAGTCTACTCTTTGTTAACATCCGAAGATAACCTCTTAGTCTTTGTTAACATCAGAATATTCCAATTCCATCGATATGTCGTTGTGAATACCAGCAAGACTCTCTGTTGACGCACTCTATTTTGGATCAGTTTACCAAGCTACTTGCTTGAAACCAGATATTTTAGGCGATTTATAGTTCTATGTATGCAGTGTTCAGTATTTATTTTAGGGACAGATTTTTCACAGTACCAAAACTCACAATATGGCATAAGCCAAATATTTTGATACAGCCCATTAGAGGTATTCAGATTTTGTATTCATCAGAATGAAGGCTCTTCAAGAAGGGCTATGATATAAAGTTATGGGATTGCCGTCGACATATTTGCAATATCTTTCCAGTTTCATGCCACGACACTTATTTTTTGGCAATTTGGTCGATGGAAGTGCTTTGCTAAGTAACTTAGTAGGTTTACACTAGATTTAACACTCAAATTAGATGCTTAGCTTCACCGCAGATTATAACATAACTAGAAATGAGGAAATATTTCTATCCAAACCATATATTTGAAATACTGGATAAAGAATTCTACTCTGATAGAATTTTTTTTCGGCTATTAACAACGTAAACCTTTCGTCTGGCAAGTTTCATGTTAGTGTCTTAAATTTGGGGTGTTGGGTTTGACTCGATGTAGCGATCCGCGTGTCCAAAACGTCTTGCACGTTTTCTTTGTGTATGTCTGATTGAGGAAGATCATAAGTCATGGTCACAGCTTTGTTTTTAAAAATATTGTGTACAATGTTTTGCGTTTGCAATTTTATCATAACTTGCGAAATATGTCATTTTCACTGAATGGTTGGCGGCTATCAATACACTGTCAAGTGCAGTTTGGACTGCCAGATTTAATTTGCAGTCTTCAGGAATGGATTATCACCAAACCGACAACCTGCTCTAGTTCTAAGGAGGATAGAGATTTGACATTCAAACCGCATTAGAAAGGGCCCGTGCTGTCAAGGGTTCCCTTTAACTTTAAGTCTAACAAAAAAGGTGACCCCTCTAAATACAACATTATGACAAATAAAGGTTGATTTCTGCAGTTCAGAATGGTCATACCGGAAAGAGCTGAAAGTTGATGATTGACCAACGAATTTTTATTGACGTCTTATCTGGAGCTTTTAATTAGTAGCGCTAGATTATCTGCTAGATCGGAAAGTAAAGGAAAGTAAAGGAACTAAGTTACTACAGGAAAAGGTGTTTTATTCAATGCCACTTTTGTACAAAGACATCTAAATTAAAATTATTGTTTTTAGGTGTTTTGAGGGGTTATTGAGGGAGATTTGCAAATGGCGAATATAAAAAAATGAGGGGGGGGGGAGGACGCGGAAAGGGGTACAGGTGGGGGTGTAGTTTGGTGTTTCAATTCTGGTGTTTGGCTGGAGAAAGATATTCCAGGATTGGGTCGTTTGGTTTCACTGAATGGCCAGGCTGTTTACTAGGTATTGATAGGAACAGCAAACTCCAGAACTAACATTAACCTCTTGTTCGTGCGCCGTATAGCGATAGACTTCTACTTCAGACAAGGACAGGTAAGCATTGTTTGCACCTTGCACCATTACACTTGATCCTTTCACATCTAGGTTAGGAAATACGTAGAGCCTTTTTCCATGATCATATTCGATGGCTCCAACTTTAAGTGCTCCTTCGTAATTTCCTCCGCTTAAGGCTGTTCCCATCCACATTACCGTCCCATCTACCCTGGCATTGACAACTTGAGATGAGTCTCTGGTACATGGTGTTTACCTTTATTTCCTTAAGGGGGGAGCCATGGGTGTTTTTTTGTGAAACTTGATTTCGAGATAGCAGTTGACCAGCAAACTAGGACCAGTGACCGAACTTTTGAGGGGGTCCCGGACCCCAACCGCCAAACAGTACCCGCGGGGGAGCCACGCCCATATTTGGTCCAATTTAGGCCCAATTTAGCCAAATACCCTGAACATGCCCAAAACCCAGGTTTAGGGTGCTTTACTTGTAGAATGTAGCTAGTGGTCTCCTGAAATCGTATATGAAATTTCATTAAGATTGGACAAAAAATGACTGAGTTATGAGCCAAAAACCATATGCCCATATTTGGGCATACTCATCAAATTTGGTAGATTTCGTCCCATAAATTGGTCAAATATCAATATTTTTGAATGAGACTTACTTTATATGAAAGGTTAGCATAAACTACATAATCTCTGTAAGCTATACACTATAGCTTTATATCTGTTTAAATGTGGATACAAGGCGAAAATACCCAAAAAATTAACAAAATTGCCCGTATCTTCGTTCGCAATATTCGCGGAATTGATTTCATTAATTTGGTAATAACTCAATCAGTTTTTAAAATTTTTGCATGAAATTTTCGGAATCGACTCTAAATCGCATTTCCACCTTATTGTAGAAAGCCGATTTTTGATTTAGGCCTCTACAAAAATTTGGCGGCCAAATTCCAAAATATACGATTTCAGGAGACCACTAGCTACAAGTAAAGCACCCTAAACCTGGGTTTTGGGCATGTTCAGGGTATTTGGCTAAATTGGGCCTATTTGGCGGTTGGGGTCCGGGACCTCTTCAAAAGTTTGGTCACTGGTCCTAGTTTGCTGATCAACTGCTATCTCGAAATCAAGTTTCACAAAAAAATTCCCATGGCTCCCCCCCCCCCCCCCCCCCCCCCCCCCAAAATGTGAAAAAAGTGTCATCGTCATAACCTTCGTGCCTGAAAAGTATTGCACAATTTAATATACACATAGTTTTTGAATTTTCATGGAACTGCAACATTGGATTATTATAATTATATTATGCGAATCTATCGATGAAAATGTTTCTGGCGGACTCACGGCGGAGACTGATCGGTCCCATCACCCAATTGACTATTGAGTCTGCGGGTGATTGTGCCAAATAATTTTAAATCTCTGTATTGATGAACAATTGCTCTTTTTTCACATTTTTGGAACTTGTTATTAATATTAACTAAATAACTAGCATACTTTCCGGTAGTTTTTCCATCGATTGCCCTCGCGATGCCACAAACGGCTTATCTTGAGAGTATCGATTTGAGTGGCAGTTCCTTCCCGAGCAACGTTCGTTGCAGTTTAAGCTGCATTTACATACTAATTGCTCATCGGTCATTAGATAGTGAAACCTATAAATTTCACTTTGAACTTTGATGATTTTAGTATAATTGACTGACGTACGTGATGGGTGACGATACGATGGGTGACGTACGTGATGGGTGACGAGCGGTAAATAAATTTCCTAAATTCCTATCGTGCCACAGCAATGAAACTTTTATCACGTGGTGACCCCCACTGTCGCTTCACTACTGTAGAGTTTCAACGATACAGGGGGAGCCGCGCACCCGTGCGCGGCGGGTCATACAACGTATGACAAAAAATTAGCTGACCATGTCGAAGTGTTGTATCGATGGCGCACTGCCTAAGTAAAGTAAAATCACAAATGGTCGCTAATTTTCACATTTCATCCATGGAAATTATAAAATGCGGTTAAGTTTACATTTTTTTCGAAATCAGAAACTTTACTCCAGGTCACTTGTCACTGTTATATTTACATATCGCCTGGTCATTTAATTGGGTACAGTCAGTTATAAACAATGGTCACGCCATAATGCCATATATTCTATGTGCGGGATCAATTCAGGGCAGGATGTTGTAAGTTTTATTGTTTATAATATAACTTATTAATTAACCATTATTATGAACGGGTGATACAATATTTATTAAAAACATTACATATTTGATATGGCGCAGTTTATATCTCCGCCAAAAGCATCACATTTTAGCATTAATGCGCGTAGTTTTCTCAACTATTTTCACAGTCGCGCCTTCCTGAAGTTACATTAAACAGCCTCTTTTGCTTCCTAACATACCAGTTTATAGGAAGCAAAATATTATATATAAGTAAAGTGCAAGAAACCGAAATCGAACTTGGCACATTAATAGCATGGGAGACGATATTATACATGGGCGATATTTAGTAGAGAATAAACCGGTACCTACGGTGTACCGGTACCGGTATACCTACGAGGGTGATATTAGTACAATTTTGTTAGCAGTTAGAACACCTCCTCCCGTATTATTGAGAATAAATTTACTTTTCCATACAATTGCGCACTTCAGTCGTATGAGTATTGCTGAACCGGCAGTAAAGCATGAAATGCTTTAATGATAAAAGATTCGTTTGTTACATAATCATGCTTTTTTTGAGTCGAGAGATACAAAATATGATGTTAACAAAACACAACTTTAAAGAACGATCAAAATTCTTACAAAGTTTTATTATAAAACTCTGTGACTGTTAAAAAGTATTAGGTAAATGATTTTTTTAAATTCTGCCTTGATGGTCTGTAGCTTTTTCTCCTGTTTCCCATTTTGAGGAAGTCAACCCTCTAACCTCTTCTTAGAAATTGTGCAGTAGAGTGTCGACGGGTTTGAGAACTCCAACGAATGAGGCATGATATCTTCTTCTACAGTCTTTTCAAAAACTTGCTGACATTCTGAGTTATATTATTGTCATAACAACGAATAGAATTTAAAAAGTACCTCATCTCTAATAATAATAACTAGACTTTATAATTATAGTCATCTCGTGAAAATTACTATATTTTTAATACTATCATAACAATGGATAGAAGTTAAGCAGTGAAAGCAGTATTAATGACATTCTCACTTTTCAGAACTAAGTGCCTAATATAATTAAGATAGAACATCTAAACAGTTTTATTCCTGTTCCATATGATCGAGGATAGTCAGGGCTACAAAACCTGACCAAGTTTAGCTCAATCCAGTACTGCGCGTTCAAGATATGAGGTTAAATATACCAAAAATAGAGGTTTTCTGGTGTGACATCATTGTAAATTATTTGGAGTATAACCTCAATATCTCACAAACTATACATTTGTGGTCTTTCTGAGTTACACTATCTGTTTCCTTTGGCAATTTCGGTTCAGAGTCAATTAAGTTTGAAACAAAATCTCAGTATATGTGAAAGGAATGAGGATATCAAGTTTGTAAAAGCGCGCGCGCGCGCGCGCGCGCACACACATATAATGACCTCATATCTTCCACATTTAACGATTTTTTATAGAAATTCTTTCACCATCCTGTAGCACTCATGTGCTGAGTAGGATAGCATTCAAATCATGTCTTTAAAAGATTTAGATAGATACTGAGGGAGAAAATTCATGTTTGTAAAAGCGCGCGCGCGCGCGCGCGCGCATGGCCCAGACTATATCAATGTACGGCCACGGGAGGATAAAAGTACTTTCATACACACCAGCATGCTCATTGATGGCTTAAAATGAAGCTAAGACATACTCCTATCAGATCCACCATAAGTTAGATACCATAATAATCATTAAATGTGTCTAAAATGAGGAAGCTTTGACAAGTGCGAGTGGTTTTGGCAAATTTTGGTATAAAATGGGCCCTGAGGTCATATTTTTCTCATTAAAATCACATATATCACGAATATTTATGTGTGTTGGGTGTATCCTCATTGGTATCAACCATTTCAATCATCTAGAGCAGCTTTCCTGATTCTTTATATCATGAAAATGGGCAAAAAAGCTCATAAATAGTCCAAAATCGGTCATTTTCGCCGCTTTAATAACCTCATTCCTGGCACCCAGAACACTTTGGGTACTCAAAACATGATTTTTCGGATACCTCAGACCCCTAACTAGCACATGGAGCCAGAAAGAACAGCATGTAGGGACTTCTAAATTTCCATGGTTGAGAACCCAATGTCACACTATTCGTTCATTAAT